AGCAACTGTTTCTCATCAAATTTTCATGAAAAAGGAAGAATTTTTGAAAGGGAGTATTTATATAAAATTTCTTAAATTTAGGCCATATTTAGTGTGTATAGCTTTATTGTCATAAAGCCCCTTTAGAGTCTACTCCTTAGTCCCTTAAGTTCAGACCCTATTCCTCAGTCCCCCGAGTTGAAGTTCTCATTAGTTATTTATACATATATCTCTAGTGTGATTTCACTGTTCTTCAAATTTGCCTTATATTTCATGATGCTTGTAACCACATAGTAAATCTAGCCATCACAGCACAGTCTACATATTTATTCATTAAATAAAAATTCATCGGAGATGATATCTGATTTATAAATCTAAGTAGCCTGGAGAAACTACCTCTCTTACATACTATCCCCAACCTCATTCCACTGTCCCAACCCCTCCCCTCCTCACATTCCAATGACCCCCTCCCCTCCACACTCTCCATTACCCCTTTTTCTATCCTCGCTTCATCATTTGTTTGTGCAAGTGAGAATGATCCAGTATATAATTATCAATTAATAAATAAGAGTTTATGGGTTTTTCATGTACATGTATTGTGTATGTTTGTTTTACATGTATAATTCTTCAAAAATAAATTAAAAAAACAAAAATGTAAATCAACCAAAATCACATCAAATGTCCTATTTGATAAAATGCTGATCCCCTCGGTTGGTGGTGATAGGACGATGATCTGATGTAATTGATTGATCGTTTTATCTCACCTGATGCAATAACTAGTTAATTTTTTTTCAAAATTGAATTAAAAATTTTATTAAAAATTACAATGCATAATATTTGCTATATTAATTAATATAATAATCAAGTAAATGAGGTAATTTATGTAACTTAGTTACAAAAAAGAAAATATTACTCCCAACAGAGAATGCTTTCACTTTCTATCAGTATTGAACACAGCTAGTTATATAACTACATCGCAAAACTTGTATGATTGTTATCGATGATTGTTTATTTCATTTATTTTAATCAATTTCCCATCATTATTAGGTTTTCTATCTTTTTAAATTAATAATTAAATTAAAAATCATTTTGTAGATATTTTGAAATATTGTGAAGTGTATCTAATAAAGTACTGAAGCAATATTTTTCAAAGTTGGCGTGCTACATCCCTATGATATCAAGTTGTGCCTTTCACTTTTTATGCCCCTGCCATTTATGGCCGGGGGCATATCGCGTTGCCCATGTCCGTCCCGTCCCGTCGCGTCCCGTTACGTCGCGTCCCGTCTAGTCCCGTTGCGTCGCGTTGCTTCCCGTCCCGTCGCGTCCCAAATCAGTATGTACCACCTAACAACTTCATTCGGACCTTTCACTATTATTTCACATGGGGGGGCGGGGGCATTCATGTCTTACAGACATTTTCTAGTTTAGCTTATAATTTGATAATTAGATATTCCAAAACATTACCATGGAAACACTTTTGAGGTCTCTGATTGTTCAAAAATAAGGTATTATATGATTAAGTTGAAAATTTTATATAAAAACGTTTAGGGGGATGACAAATACAATACCGTTTTTGAAGAAAATTGTTTCCATTTGGTTGCCATAGTGACCAAATGAAGACCTCTTGGAGGAATTTAGTTTTGAACAACCTCTCCAAAACTATTGTTGATTGGTGAGCAGGGGGTATTAGTCGGCCATGCTGGGGACAGTTTTAGTTATCCTTCTCTGCCCCTCCTTCACCCAGAACCAGCATCTCTTAATGCCCAGGGTAAATTTATATCTTGTCAGTGGGCAAGAAGATATAAATACACGTTAAAAAAAAAAAAAAAAAAAATGGCCATGGGGTCTGGATCCACTTCTGGGTTAGATTGCAGAAACCGATGCTATCCCCACTATATATATAACTATACATAGCTCATATACAAAATTGGGTTTCCCTTCCCACAAAGCTTTTCTTCTATTTCTCTTATTAGGCCACATTTTTGTCCCAGACCCACACCTCAGGCCTTGGGGGACTGAGACCCTCCATCAATACAAACTTGGTTGCCCTACACTCAAGAATTCTTCTAACCAAATTTAAATAAATTCTAGAGGTGCTTTTATTGCAACTTGAGAGATGACTTTACTGTAAATATTTTCATCACTTTTCAAGAATGGAATCAAAATATTGTAAATTGAAAGTTTTCTTGATTAAAAAAAAAATCCAAACCTTGATTTATTCAAATTCATTAGTTTTAATAACTCTGTATGCTGCATACAATCATAGTTCCATTGTCCCCTCTAACACCCTGTTAACAGCACACGCTACCCTACTAATACTGCACTGGTATATTGGTCCCGCTAACAAATTGGGAACTGTGATTATTTGTAGTATGCTACACATGTATTAGTTTTACAAAATCAAATTGATAAAGAAAAGTTACTATTGATCTTGAATTAGCAAATCCTTTCCAAATTTATTTTCTGGTCACTTTGCTTTTCAAATGGGAAAATTATTTCAAAATTTACTGCAAAATGGTTCAGTAAATTCAGGGCAGACAGCAACTGTTTCTCATCAAATTTTCATGAAAAAGGAAGAATTTTTGAAAGGGAGTATTTATATAAAATTTCTTAAATTTAGGCCATATTTAGTGTGTATAGCTTTATTGTCATAAAGCCCCTTTAGAGTCTACTCCTTAGTCCCTTAAGTTCAGACCCTATTCCTCAGTCCCCCGAGTTGAAGTTCTCATTAGTTATTTATACATATATCTCTAGTGTGATTTCACTGTTCTTCAAATTTGCCTTATATTTCATGATGCTTGTAACCACATAGTAAATCTAGCCATCACAGCACAGTCTACATATTTATTCATTAAATAAAAATTCATCGGAGATGATATCTGATTTATAAATCTAAGTAGCCTGGAGAAACTACCTCTCTTACATACTATCCCCAACCTCATTCCACTGTCCCAACCCCTCCCCTCCTCACATTCCAATGACCCCCTCCCCTCCACACTCTCCATTACCCCTTTTTCTATCCTCGCTTCATCATTTGTTTGTGCAAGTGAGAATGATCCAGTATATAATTATCAATTAATAAATAAGAGTTTATGGGTTTTTCATGTACATGTATTGTGTATGTTTGTTTTACATGTATAATTCTTCAAAAATAAATTTAAAAAAAAAAAAAATGTAAATCAACCAAAATCACATCAAATGTCCTATTTGATAAAATGCTGATCCCCTCGGTTGGTGGTGATAGGACGATGATCAGATGTAATTGATTGATCGTTGAATCTCACCTGATGCAATAACTAGTTTTTTTTTTTTCAAAATTGAATTAAAAATTTTAGTAAAAATTACAATGCATAATATTTGCTATATTAATTAATATAATAATCAAGTAAATGAGGTAATTTATGTAACTTAGTTACAAAAAAGAAAATATTACTCCCAACAGAGAATGCTTTCACTTTCTATCAGTATTGAACACAGCTAGTTATATAACTACATCGCAAAACTTGGGAAATTGTTTCAATCATCGATTACAATCATACATCATTATTAGGTTTTCTATCTTTTTAAATTAATAATTAAATTAAAAATCATTTTGTAGATATTTTGAAATATTGTGAAGTGTATCTAATAAAGTACTGAAGCAATATTTTTCAAAGTTGGCGTGCTACATCCCTATGATATCAAGTTGTGCCTTTCACTTTTTATGCCCCTGCCATTTATGGCCGGGGGCATATAGCGTTGCCCATGTCCGTCCTGTCCCGTCGCGTCCCGTTACGTCGCGTCCCGTCTCGTCCCGTTGCGTCGCGTTGCTTCCCGTCCCGTCGCGTCCCAAATCAGTATGTACCACCTAACAACTTCATTCGGACCTTTCACTATTATTTCACATGGGGGGGGCGGGGGCATTCATGTCTTACAGACATTTTCTAGTTTAGCTTATAATTTGATAATTAGATATTCCAAAACATTACCATGGAAACACTTTTCAGGTCTCTGATTGTTCAAAAATAAGGTATTATATGATTAAGTTGAAAATTTTATATAAAAACGTTTAGGGGGATGACAAATACAATACCGTTTTTGAAGAAAATTGTTTCCATTTGGTTGCCATAGTGACCAAATGAAGACCTCTTGGAGGAATTTAGTTTTGAACAACCTCTCCAAAACTATTGTTGATTGGTGAGCAGGGGGTATTAGTCGGCCATGCTGGGGACAGTTTTAGTTATCCTTCTCTGCCCCTCCTTCACCCAGAACCAGCATCTCTTAATGCCCAGGGTAAATTTATATCTTGTCAGTGGGCAAGAAGATATAAATACATGTTAAAAAAAATGGCCATGGGGTCTGGATCCACTTCTGGGTTAGATTGCAGAAACCGATGCTATCCCCACTATATATATAACTATACATAGCTCATATACAAAATTGGGTTTCCCTTCCCACAAAGCTTTTCTTCTATTTCTCTTATTAGGCCACATTTTTGTCCCAGACCCACACCTCAGGCCTTGGGGGACTGAGACCCTCCATCAATACAAACTTGGTTGCCCTACACTCAAGAATTCTTCTAACCAAATTTAAATAAATTCTAGAGGTGCTTTTATTGCAACTTGAGAGATGACTTTACTGTAAATATTTTCATCACTTTTCAAGAATGGAATCAAAATATTGTAAATTGAAAGTTTTCTTGATTAAAAAAAAAATCCAAACCTTGATTTATTCAAATTCATTAGTTTTAATAACTCTGTATGCTGCATACAATCATAGTTCCATTGTCCCCTCTAACACCCTGTTAACAGCACACGCTACCCTACTAATACTGCACTGGTATATTGGTCCCGCTAACAAATTGGGAACTGTGATTATTTGTAGTATGCTACACATGTATTAGTTTTACAAAATCAAATTGATAAAGAAAAGTTACTATTGATCTTGAATTAGCAAATCCTTTCCAAATTTATTTTCTGGTCACTTTGCTTTTCAAATGGGAAAATTATTTCAAAATTTACTGCAAAATGGTTCAGTAAATTCAGGGCAGACAGCAACTGTTTCATCAAATTTTCATGAAAAAGGAAGAATTTTTGAAAGGGAGTATTTATATAAAATTTCTTAAATTTAGGCCATATTTAGTGTGTATAGCTTTATTGTCATAAAGCCCCTTTAGAGTCTACTCCTTAGTCCCTTAAGTTCAGACCCTATTCCTCAGTCCCCTGTAGTCAGACCCTTTAGACCCTACTCCTTTGTCCCCTGGAGAATCGGACCCTTTAGACCCTATTTCTCGGTCCCTTTTAGTCCAACCCTTTAGATGCTACTTTCTCAGTCTCCTAGAGTAGGACCCTTTAGACCCTACTTCTTTCTCTCCCTAGAGTCCGACCCTTCAGACCCTATTCGGCAGTCCCAAATAGTTATACCCTTTAAACCCTATCCGGCAGTCCCCAATAGTGAAGACCATTTAGACCCTACTCCTTTGTCCCCTGGAGTCAGCAATAGATTGGAGAATTGTAGCTTCAGGTTGCAGTGAGGTACATTTGTACAAAGTTCAGGTATGTTTGATTAATTGAGTAATCGTTATGAACGTAAAATAGTGTCAATATTTTGTAGAAAAATTCTTTTGTGTATTTTGTGTATTCATTTGTGAATGATTTTAGTTTTTACATTGTTTTTCTAACGGTAATCACAATGGTGGTGCAGCATCACCAATTTTACCAAAACCGATGGGTATACAGTGTTTTTATTGATAATCTTAAGTCTGAGTTTCTCTCAGAATAATATCTTTCAGGTGGATCTTCAGATGGGCTCAATTCACATGGCTGCATTGGAGCTGTTAGAGGTAATTGTGATGATTTCAGGGATTGGTATGGTTATGTCAATGATGGTGATTGGTTTCTGGGAGAAGATGATTGCATGGATTAATGAAGATGATATTGGGGATTCACAAAATGCTGACTGTACTGAAATGGATCTGTCATGGCTGCCTTGGATTGGAGGATGGCTTGGAGGACTGTAGCTGTGGGTTGCAGTGAGGAACATTTGTACCAAGTTTAGGTATGTTTGATTGAGTAATCGTGATGAATGTTATGCAGTGTGAATGTTGTTTTGACTAATGCTCTAAAATCATTTGTGTATGATTTTTATATGCCACCAGAGGCGGTCGTATATTGATGTCATCTTCTCCGTCTGTCCGTACGTCCATTTCTTGTGAATGCAACTATTCCTAAACTAATGATCAGATTTTCACGAAACTTGGTCAATGTCACTTCTACAATGAGTGGATGTGCTGGAAGTAGTGATTCTTGATCTTTATATTTTGTGGCGGCATATATTGTGTCCACAGCACTCTTGTTTTGAGATTTGTTTTGTCAACAGTAATCACAATGGTGGTGCATCACAAATTTTAACAAAACTGATCGGTATACAGTGTTTTTGATGAAAAGCCAAACTATTAAGTTCTCTTGGATTGAAATTTTAAGGTGGACTCTGGGATGAGATGACCTTGCATTGCTGTATAGGTGCTGTTGTAACTGGAGGGAGGTGACTGCAGTTATAAGGTTTAGGACCTGTATGGTGCACCTGGTTTTGTTGATTTGAATTGAAGATAATTTGTTTGGTCATTGGGTCTCACTCCTTTCCCTTCCCACAAAGACCCTTCAGACTAAACTGAGTCAAAACATCTCAATTTCAACACAGTTTTTAAAGCTGTACATCTCTATTTTAGATAGTAGGCATTACCCCTCAGGTCCTTAGGGGTCCAACCCACAGCTCATATACAAAATTGGTTTCCCCTCCCACGAAGTTTTTCCTCCATTTCTCTTATTAGACCACATTTTTGTCCCAGACCCACACCTCAGGCCTTGGGGGACTGAGACCCTCCATCAATACAAACTTGGTTGCCCTACACTCAAGAATTCTTCTGACCAAATTTAAATAAATTCTAGAGGTGCTTTTATTGCAACTTGAGAGATGACATTATTGTAAATATTTTTATCACTTTTCAAGAATGGGATCAAAATATTGTAAATTGAAAGTTTTCTTGATTAAAAAAAAAATCCAAACCTTGATTTATTCAAATTCATTAGTTTTACTCAATAACTCTGTGTGCTGCATACAATCATAGTTCCATTGTCCTTTCTAACACCCTGTTAACAGCACACGCTACCCTACTAATACTGCACTGGTATATTGGTCCCGCTAACAAATTGGGAACTGTGATTATTTGTAGTATGCTACACATGTATTAGTTTTACAAAATCAAATTGATAAAGAAAAGTTACTATTGATCTTGAAGTAGCAAATCCTTTCCAAATTTATTTTCTGGTTATTTTGCTTTTCAAATGGTAAAATTATTTCAAAATTTACTGCAAAATGGTTCAGTAAATTCAGGGCAGACAGCAACTGTTTCTCATCAAATTTTCATGAAAAAGGAAGAATTTCTGAAAGGGAGTATTTATATAAATTTCTTATTTAGGCCATATTTAGTGTGTATAGCTTTATTGTCATAAAGCCCCTTTAGAACTCTACAGTCCCTTAAGTTCAGACCCTATTCGGCAGTCCCCAATAGTCAGACCCTGTAGACCCTACTCCTTTGTCCCCTAGAATCAGACCCTTTAGAGCATATTCCTCGGTCCCCTTTAGTCCAACCCTTTAGATCCTACATGCTCGGTCTCCTAGAATAGGACCCTTTAGACCCTACTCCTTTGTCCCCTAGAATTGGACCCTTTAGACCCTATTCCTCAGTCCCCAATAGTTAGACCCTATTCAACCCTTTAGATCCTACTTCCTCAGTCTCCTAGAATAGGACCCTGTAGACCCTACTCCTTTGTCCCCTAGAATAGGACCCTTTAGACCCTACTCCTTTGTCCCCTGGAGAGTCGGGACACTTTAGACCCTATTCCTTTGTCCCCTGGAGAGTCGGACCCTTTAGACCCTGCTCCTTTGTCGCTTGGAGTCGGACACTTTAGACCCTATTCCTTTGTCCCCTGGAGAGTCGGACCCTTTAGACCCTGCTCCTTTGTCGCTTGGAGTCGGACACTTTAGACCCTATTCCTTTGTCCCCTTGAGAGTCGGACCCTGTAAACCCTACTCCTGTGTGTGTTGTGTGGGTATCTGTCCCATCACACGTTAAATAGCATAAGTTTAGTTAGTTGATATATCTAGAATACCTGTAGTTAGTAGGTATCTAGAATACCTGTAGTTGTAGGCAAGGAATTATGAGACAGTCAATTTTTCGCTACATGAAATATCTGGGATTTTTTCATTCTTTATTAAGTGAAAGTACCAGGGCTTCAATTTAGCAAAAATGTTAGGTTATATATTGTGCATCACCCATTGAAATTAAAGGATGACAGTATTTAAAGAGGAACTAATTCTAAAGAACATGTAAATGTGTGGTTCACCCTAAATCAAATCTCCAGTAAATTTATTTTGAACAACTTTTCAATCAAAATTTGTTAGTGTTTGCTAAACTTGCAGTTTTTTACCTGTGTCATAGTGTAAAAATGTACATTTTGTTGTTTTGGAAATATTTCGGATTTATAAGTTATTTGGATGATCTTGAGAATAGGAATTTTGTATCAGTATTGAAGGATAAATATTTAATTGAATTAATTTGATAATCTAGTGTTAAAAAATCTTGACAGTCAGGTACAGGCTAGTAAATTATAATGATAAACCTTTGATGCCTGTGTAGCTCTTGTATAAACATTTAATTGTGTCATTGAGCTAACCATGGTATTAAGATTGTTGTGTCAAAGTATATCGAGTTACCTTTTCAGGTCTAGATTTAATATATTATAAATTTACTCCACCCCTCCACACTTGGTAATAACCAATCAATTTAAAGGAAATATAATTTGTATTATTTTTGATGTATAGAGTGAGAGAGAAGAGAGAATGTTTGAGAGAAGAATGAGGACCACAAGAGAGGGGTGCTGGCCTTTACAGAGGACCAAGAACTTTTACCAATATATTGAATATAGGTCAGCACCCATTCTAATATTCTGTGTAAATTAGTGTGTGATGTAAATAAACAATAATATATCAAAGGAACATCTCCAGTCCTGATTTTACGGACGAAAAAGTTCAGTCAGACAGTTCACCGTCAGCTCAGTATCCTTGAGAGTAGTACTATAGAGCTATAATTCCCCCAAACACTCCCAATGTGCACCAGGAGCGTGGTGACAAATGGCGGAGAATCCCAAGATGATCTGGACCTCTACACCGAAAAAGGACGAAGAAGAGGTTTTCCAACACAAGAAGGAAAATAAACACTTAGATACAGATATGGATGCCACAGACTGCAGTGAGTACAACCATTTAATGTGCTTCAGTTTCTATACTCATGTGACTAAATTTAATGCAAGTTTGATTTAATTAATTATTCAAGTTGAAATTAAACCTTTAAGACAGAAAAATGGCCAAAGTTAGAAAAAAAGAAAGTATTTGTAGGAAAGACCTCTGTAAACAAAATGGTACCAAAGTTTTTAATGTTTCTATTGGAGAAGACATGAAAATTCATAGCACACCTTTAATTGGAAATAAAATTCTTGTTAAAGTAGGGAGTCAAAAAGTTAAAGCATTAGTAGATACAGGAGCTGATATATCCTGTGTAACAGAGTTGTTTGTAAAACAATCCTGTCAAAATGCTGAACTCAAACCTAGTCAATTGAAGTCACTTAGTAGTGTTTGTGGTGAACGTCGTGCAGTTTTAGGCAAATTAGAGTTACCAGTAAAAGTTGATGGTTTAATCTTATACCAAGATTTCTTTGTACTTAAAAGGTTGCATTCAACAATTTTATTAGGTATAGACTTTCTCAGAGCTAATCAAGCAAGGTTAGACTTTAAAATAATTCCTTAGTGTTAAAAAATGGTTTTGCACAAATATCATTACTTTCCACAGTGCCTAAAAACTTAGTAAAACTTACTGATAGTGTTAGTATACCCCCATTTAGTGAGGCAACTGTGAGGGTAAATATATTCAATGTCCCAGAAAAGTGCTCTGTTCTATTAGAACCCAGTCAGGCTCTACAGGTTAGATATAATTTAGCAGGAAGTAAATGTTTGACAAACTGTGGGAAATAGACTGCTGTGGTCAACTTACGACATGTTCAAGCTAGACTTGCTTGGTTTCGTGATCATTTGAATTGTAACTCAAAGGGAAGGAGTGTATCAATTTCTTAATCCAACAAACAACGAGGTGCATTTACCAAAATTTGTAACAGTAGCCAAGGCGTCCTGTGAAATAGATGATGAATCGGTCACAGTAGTTCCGGATACCTACGTACAGACAAGCTTTTGAGTAGTCGGCGATCACATTAATACTGCTAAGGACCTAGGAATTTCTTAAGAAGATGCTGAATTGACGGAACAACAGAAGGAAAAATTATTATGTCTCGGGGGGAAACACAGAAAAACTTTCGCCAAAGAACTATCAGAGATAGGAAAAACCAGTCTAGTTCAGCATCGTATAGAAACAGGACATGCTAGGCCAGTATCTTAACATGCTACAGGAAAACTCCTCAACAAAGGGAGAATACAGATTCGCGGTAGATTTTCGAAAGCTCATTGCGGTTACTGAAGACATACACTTTCCTTTACCAAGACTAGATGACATCTTGGACACAATTGGGGATTCAAAGGCACAGATGTTTTCAACACTTGATCTCGCAAGTGGCTTTTGGCAGATACCACTGGGCCCAGCCACAAAACATAAGTCAGCTTTCGTGACACATCAAGGGGTTTTTCATTTCAACAGATGCAAAAATGCACCAATGTCATTCCAAGCCTTGATGAACAGAGTATTGAAAAATCTAAACTTCAAGTCAGCATTAGTTTACATTGCTGACATTTTGGTATATAGTACAACTTTTTCTGAACATTTACAACACTTGGATACAATTTTTGCAACCCTAGCAGAAGCAAATCTAACTCTAAAACATACCAAATGTAAGTTTGCGGCCAAACAGGTGAGATACTTAGGCCACATCCTCTCAAAGGATGGGGTCAGTGTGGATCCTGAGAAGACGAGGGCAGTGGCAGAATTTCCTGTA